TTATATAAAATGATATATGAATTTCATTATCCAATAGAAATGGGACACATGTCCATTTAAAAAAAATGTCTTACCTCCTTACCTCATATTACTTCACGCGCTTTTAGGATGGGTACATTTCACTAAAGGCCTTGGCACACCTAGCAAGGTGTGCCAAGGCACACCTAAGTATTTGCCATACAATTGGTGCGTACAGCAACTTTTCCTGCCACCTCCAGTCTGCCCCCGTCTTTTCACTGTAAAAATTTTTGCTTTCTCACCCTTTTCTCTTTCATGGTCACCCGTTTTCACCCTCGTTTAACCACAGTAAATAAAAGTTAACCAAGTGCGCGGTTACGCTGGGCCCCGGGTCAAATCTCCTCCCCCAACACCCGTCGTTTTCTCACTGCAAATCTCAATTTCAATGGCAGCAAACAAGCAACACCAGCTACGACAAGGATAGTCTAAAAACTCTATACTCATTGCCCGTGTTATTGTCAAGGCATCTGTGGGAAAGAAGTTCAAAGGAAGCTCAGATCTCTTTGGCTCTACGAGTCCCAGAGCAGTCTTCTCTTTCCCTTTAACCAATAGCCAGTTTATGCACCGGCCGGCCCGGCCCGGACTGTTAGGCCATCGCCAGATGTTCCCGAGATTGATCCAACCCCGTGAGGCCATTTTGAGCCAGGAAGGTATACAGGGCACCGCAGGCGGCGGGTACGGTCAACGGGTTGGTGGGGACCCGTGTTTGGTGCTTACATCCGACCCGAAGCCCCGTCTCCGGTGGACGGCCGACCTTCATGAGCGGTTTGTCGACGCCGTTACACAGCTTGGTGGCGCCGGCAGTTAGTGTTCACTTTCCCCATCTTTTTGTTATATTACTTTTTTCCCTCTTCGTTTGAATTATAATTTCTGTGTTCTTAACCCCCATATGACATTAGTGTTTAACTTTTTGAAATTATTGGTTGATTATGTGGGTAAAGGTTCTTTCCTTTTATCTCTCTTATATTGCTCTTCTCTTTTTCTTCTTCTTCGTGGATGCCCTTGTTCGACTGGTTTGGAACTTTAAATTATCCAAAACTGTGTGAAATTTGGAATGTTATGTATTGAGGATTAGGAAGAATGTGAAGTTCTTATATGCTTCATTTATCGCCATTTTGTTTGAAAAATTTATGATGTTACAGTCTACCGAGCTGAATTAAATCCGTGCGGACTTGGTTATTAGTTACAACCTTGTTAAAGACTACCAATCTAGTGAGTTTGATTTATTCTGGGCATAAGGGATCATTCAGTTTTGTTTTAGTTTTTTAAGAAATTAATCCATCGAGCTTCGCGTTACAATCATTTTCGTCTACTTCGTTCCAGCACGGAAGCTGGATACAAGCCATTGCATTGTTCTTGCCTGTTGTTCTTTGTCTGCATCATTAATTTAACTAGGAAGCAAGATGAATAGCATGTCTATTTGTGGTTTTATAGAAGACCCTGAACTGGTAAGAAGAGTTCTCTTGAACATGAATTTCGACTTTCGTCAACTGAATTTGGCTCTATTTTCAGAAGCGACTCCAAAAGCAATAATGCGTACAATGGGTGTCAAGGGATTGACTCTGTTTCATTTGAAGAGTCATCTTCAGGTTTTGCACCCATTTTCCTGTATTAATTATACAATTTTTTTCTGTTTGCACACAACGTCACTTCTCAACCGAGCTTTGTTTTTTGTTGTCTTTCTACTTGTTGAATGGATATTACTTGCTTCCTCCCAGAAATACAGACTCGGCAAGCAATCAGGGAAAGAACTTGGTGAGGCTTCAAAAGATGGTATATCTATCTAGTTCCTTTATGTGTCTTCATTATAGTTATTTTACCTGACCCCTGACCTGAAAGATAGTTCAAGCATAATGAGCAGAATGATAAGCGACTTTGGCTCTTGCTTAAATAATTTCCGTTGATTTTTTTTATTTAATTACCTTAGATATGAAAATATGCAAGCTTTATTAGGTTGTCTTTGTCATTGTTTTAATTTGGTTTCTTAGAGGAGTGTTCTTCTATTTGGACATCCAAGTAAATTGTTCACTTCTTTATTTATTGATGCTGGACTTTTCAGGCACATACCTGATCGATAGCCCTCGTGCAAGTCATTCTCCTCAGAGCTTGCAAGCATCTGACGCGAATGAGTAAGGATTTGGATTATTTTCCTGAAATTCTGGTGTGCGTGATTCAATTGTTTTCCACTCGAAACATGATGTACATTTTTATTTTTTTTTTTTCTTATCATTTTACAATACAATCAGGGGTTATGAAGTTAAGGAGGCATTGAGAGCACAAATGGAGGTTCAAAGCAAACTGCACTTGCAAGTTGAAGTAAGAAACCTCAACTTTCTTTTTTTACAACTTAACCACAGAAATTTGGAATTTTTTCTAAATGACAAGTAAGCATCCTTCAATCTTGGAAGAAATCTCTTACATTCAGATACTGGAAACATGCATTTGTTCAAAATTTTCAATAAAATACGGTTATTCACTTTCGTTCACGTACTAGATTCAGCTTTAAACCTACTAAGTCATATAAGTAACAATAGAATATGAAAACATTTTCTATTCCAAGTCTATAGCTTATATGTGATAGAATTGTTTCCACTTTAATTTTTAACATCTAGAGGGAAAAGTGAGAATTGAAAAGTTATTTATTTGATTCGGTTTTGCTATGAAGCCAACAGTTTGCTCCATAGTGGAGCCAACATTCTATATACAACAAGTAATAATACCATATTAATAAAATTATATTAATGTTATTTAAGTAATCAGCGAATATGGTAGGTCTACTTATTGTATATAAAAGGTTGGCTCCACTATGGAGCCAACTGTTAGCTTCATAGCAAAACCGTGATTTCATATATAAATTGAAGGATATGTTTGCTGAGATGTCGGAGTCTCTTTTTGTAACGGATTTGTGATATTGTAGCAATGTGTGTGCATAGAATTCCATAATTGCAATCGAAATGTCTTTTATAAGATTGAATCTCAAGTTCCATGTGAAGGCGAAAACTTCAAATGATTTAATTTCCAGTATACTCAGACTAAAGACAGTTGGAAACTATTGAAAGTGGTTGGGGACACTACCATATATTCCACATCAAACACAATCAAGCCACAAGTCTCAATAGAAAATAACAGCTATATCAGAACATTTGAAATGTTAAAATCAATAAAAAAATCAGGGAAAGAAAAACAAGATGAAAGATGAATCTCTAAAGACACGGTTAATCAGCAACCAACTATCATGGGCTTCCATGTACATGTACTGATTTTCTGCCATTTTTTTCAATTTGCAATCAACAGGCCGAAAAACATTTACAGATCCGCCAAGATGCCGAGAAGAGATACATGGCCATGCTTGAACAAGCCTGCAAGATGCTCGCCGATCAGATCATCGGGTCCCCACTTGCCAATGAGGATGGGGATGGCTACCAAGGAAATGGGCCAAAGGCGCCGCCCAATGATTCCCCTAGCCCACTAATATTACCATACCCAGACGAAACCACAGGCCCATTAGTAGATCCCAGTCGATTTGAAATCCCTCCAAACCTTCGCCAGCAACGGGCCGATTGTTCGACAGAGAGCTGCCTCACGTCCCATGAGAGCCCAGTTGGTTTGTCGCCCTCTCCTGGTGTGAAGAGGGCCGTGCTGAATGTGGACCCCTCAAATGCCTCATTTGTGTGGAGCGAGTCGGATGCATACACCCCTGACTTGCCTATGGTACAAGTCAGCTGTGAGCATGTTTTTAATTAATTAAGTAGGTCAACACTCAACAACCAGATGGGTTTGATGCCATTCTACTAAAAACTTCTTGTTTAGGGTGAATGGTCTGAAGCACTTGCGGAGTCTAACTTGTTTTAAGCTGTAAATGGAATCTACTAATGTTGTTTTTTTCTTTACTTTTTTTGTTGTGTTTAATCATCATCCAGAATTTACCTCTTTTTCTCTTTATTTAATGTCATTTTAATTTTTTTCTTGTCAACTTCAAAACTTTTTTTTATTACATCTACTGTAAATGTAGATTTACCCATCGTGGATGTAATAACTGATTTTCTCCAACACAAGGACTAAAACTCAAAAGTACGTAAGAAATTTCATAAATCTTCCTGGAGGCGTTTTCTTTGAAAAATCATAAATCTTCCTGAGTTTGACCTCTGCATCATATATTGGAATGTGAATGGGGTCGCTTCGAATTCGAGAGAAGGGTATCAGTGAGCTCGAACTTTAGGAGGAGCTCAGTAAGCTCGAATTTGAGATGTCTTTTGCATACGATTCTCTTTGTTGTAATTTTGCTTAATTATTCACCGAGTATCTTTGTAGAGCGCATGATGGGCAACAAGATGGACTAACATCCCCTTGCCGGCAAGGGGGCTGCTCCCGCTAAGGAGGCAGCCCAGAAGGACAAGGCAAAAGAGGTCGAAAAGAACATCGCCTCGGACAAAACCGCCGGCAAGGGACACACCGCCTTCCCCTCAAAGGCGGCCGACAAACAGGCCGATCAGCAGGGCAAAAAGAGTGTTGACCCGAGCGTCGGTAACAGGAGGGTTATTTTGTTGTTCTTGTGCGAGGTATTTCGCTTAAAGAGCTTCGATGGATCCGTACGACTATTCTTATGCTTGAAGCACGTCTCGTGGATACCCCGACAATTACCAAGAGGAGATGTTTCATATAGAGAACCACCTCGTTCGTATCTGAGCTAACTTTATTTTTATGAAGGGTACTCTACATCCCATGGGTATTGCCCGAGTCATTCTTATCTGATATCTCGAGCCGATTTTGGTCATGACATTCCGAGTCACGACGAGACGACTCACTACTATCCTCCGCCTCCCAGTTATTATGAAGAAATACCTCCATAAGAGCCGACTCGAGAAGCTTCTCGAGTCCATTTTGATGAAATTATGGAGAAATTGGCGAGGTGTAATCAATCTCTTCGTGTTTCAATAAATTCCATGTCCAAAAAAGAAGATACCGAGTTCTATGATCCATTCCATCGTATGAGCAACAATCGATTGGACAACCTTGTACATCGAGTTCCGAAGTTTCATTTCCAACAATGATTGTGCCTTCCGAGCATCACTGAGAGGTTTTGAAAAGCACTTAAAAGGCACTTGCAAGCCCTATTGCACGGTAGCCGTACGAGGGTAGACCAAGCTAATTAATGATGAAAATCAACATAAGATATATATTATTTCGTTATTGAATACACTAGGATTTTCTATTGGAATAAACAATACGGCAAGAATCAAACTATAAGCCACCAATTTATATAAATCACAATCAAATACCTTCTCATTTATTGGCCAAAGTACATCACACAAGGATATTACATTGATATGATACACACCTATAAACATATATAGGCAAATTAATCATAAATCTCATATAAACATACACACGACACGATATATATAGCCAAAAAAACATACAACAAATATATGAAAGCAGCAAGCAAGCTGGTCAAAATCCTAATTAGAATAGGAAAAAAGGGTAGCCACAACTGAACAAATGTTAACGAGCTTGAGCATGTCCCCATTCTCCTTGGCTATGGGGGACTGAGGTTGGCCGAACCCATTCTCGCATGCCTTAATCTCGTCCTCGGCTGTGTCGGCCAGCATGTCGAAACCGTAGTACGTCTCGGAGTCGAGGTTTCCGAGCACTTCCATCATGGCCCGGCCCGCCTTCGTGTAGCTTCCCTGGCAGCCCTTGAAGCCCGCCAAGATGTTCTCGTTCCCTCCACTGTTGATTTTCGTCTGGACCAGATCCAAGATCTCCTGGGCTTTGTTGTAGGCGAGGCTGTTGGCTATGTAGGCAAGGACCACCGGATCCGCCGACGCGGCCCGTGAGTCGGAAAAGAGGACATGTTTGCAGTATTTCGCGTCGGTCGTGTTTGAGCAGACTTGGACGACTAGCGATGTATCCGATTGTGATAATATATGTCGGCCGGCCTCCGAGTAGGAAAGGAGGCAGGCCAAGGCGACCAAGAAAGCCATAGTTTTAGAGAAGGCCATTTTTTTTTTTTCTTAACTTTCTCTCTATTGATGTTTAGGAGAAAGAAAGATAAGTTGCATGTGAGGTGTGGGATTAGGGGTTTATAGAGGCACATATATATATAGAAAGAAAAGATGCATGGTGGGATGTGTTTTGCACATTTACATTATGATGATTTATGCGTATGTGACTTCACTGTGTATATTGAATTGTATTAGAACCGGGAAAGAGAGTGCATTCTCACCAGATGAAGCGCACCATATGAGCTTATATGCATCTCGGTGAGATTTCATCCCAAAACAATTAGTGATGGGAAGAGTAGCCAACTACTATGCTTATATACTATACTCATTTTTCCTATAGAATCAATGTTGGACAACTCACAAGTGATATTCCAACACGTCCCCTCATTTGTGAGTTCTTCGTAAGCACAAGCCCACATAACAGGCCGGGTAGAGTGATAAGCCCAAGCCCAGAGCAGGTCGGGTAGAGAGAGTCATTGCAGGTACTAGGACAGACCCGCTCTGATACCATATTAGAACCGAGAGAAGAGAGTGCGGTCCCACCAGACGAAGCGCACCATAAGAGGATGAGTCTAGATGCACTTTATTGAAGTTTCATCCCAAAACCAATTGGTGATTGGAGAAGTAGTACACTAGATCTATAAACTAGCCTCATTTTCCCTATATATAAAATCGACGTGGGGCAATTCACAAGTGATATTCCAACAAATTTTTTGGTGCGATTAGGCCCTTTTTTTTTTATCAGTTAGGTTTCGATTATCTTCGTGAAAATCGATGTTCTTTTTACCAAAATTATAGGGGAAATTGGAACTTTTTTGCCCATGAACCGTCAAAAGTGTCTTTACCAAACACACTAGAAACTATACTAGCGGTCGAGAACTTATGTAAGTGATTCGGTTAAGTTTGTAAATTATATTAATATTCTTGAGCTGACCACAACAAATGTAAATGGATCTGGCAACTTGCAACAAATTCGAAATTATGGCCACAAATAAATATAATGGCCACAAGAAAAATATAAATAAACATTGCAAGTTGGAGCAATTTCAATCCTTATAACCTATCATATTTGCACAATGTACATGATTACACCA